ATAGGTTCTACCACCCCCCCCCCGGACTTAAAGACCCCCCTTTTCGCACTGCAAGTTGCAGATGGTTCTGCCCAATTATCCATTATATATATATATATATATATATATATATATATATATATCTGAATTTACACCATCCCAAGGGGCCGGTATCGCCCCCTCCCGCCATCGTCCGCAAAAAACCGTTATGCGACAGCACTCGTTAATCAACAATCATAAGTGCTCAAGAATCCCTTGCAAAGATAGTGCGCAGGCGCGCGTCGTCGTGCGCGCATGCCGACATTTGTCAGAAACCTTCCGTTTCGGAGAAATGTCAACATCGAGTGTCCAAACAACCATCTAAAAACACAGGGTTTCGCAACACGGGTTTTCAAAAAAACTTACGCGCGCGCTCTTGCGAATTCCGAAGAAAACCATAGGTGTTTCAATTTTTTGCAGGAGTGCTACCAAACGGGCTTCGCGCGCGCGGATGTTGAAATCGTTCGAACGCCGTTGCGCGCGCGTGCCGTCGCGAGAATCCTTTGCAACAGAATTGGACGAAGTGCTCGCGCGCGTCGTCGCGCGCGCATGCCGGAATCCTTCAAAAATTTCGGGTTTCGCAACTATTTCAAAATCGAGTGTCCAAAAATATACCAAACACATAGTTTTGCAACGCGGGTTTCAAACAAAAGCGTGCGCGCGCGCTCTTGCGTCGTCGTCGTCGTCATCTTCGTCGCCGTCCTCCCTCCTCCCTCGTCGTCGTCGTCGTCGCCGTCGTCGTCCTCTGTGTTTCCTCGTCGTCGTCGTCGTCGTCGTCGTCGTCGTCGTCGTCGTCGTCGCCGTCCTCTTTGGCGTCGTGGTCGTTTCCGTCGTCGTTGTCGCCGTGGTCGTCCTTCCTTCTCCCTCGTCGTCGTCGTCCGTCGTCGGCGTCTCGTCGTCGTCCTTCCTATTTCTTCGCCGTCGTCGTCGTCGTCGCCGTCTTCCCTCCTCCCTCTTCGTTGTTGTCGTCGGCGTCGCTGTCTTCCCTCCTTCTTCGTCGTCCGCATCGTCGCCGTCTTCCCTCCTCCCTTGTCGTTGTCGTCGTTGTCGCCGTCGCCGTCCTCCCTCCTCCCTCGTCGTCGTCTTCGTTGGCGACGTCGTCGTCGTCGTCGTCGGCGTCATCGTCGCCGTCGTCGTCGTCCTCTTTGGCGTCGTCGTCGTCGTCGTCGTCGTCGTCGTCGTCGTCGTCGTCGTCGTCGTCGTCGTCGGCGTCGTCATCGTCGTCGTCGTCGTCGTCGTCGTCGGCATCGGCGTCGTCGTCGTCGTCGAAGTCGTCGGAGTCGCCGTCGGTGTCGTCGTAGTCGTCGTAGTCGTGGTCGGCGTCGTCGTCGTCGTTGTCGCTGTCGTCGTCGGTGTGGGTGTCGTTGCCAACTGCCATCTGGTACCTACCGTCACGGTCTTAAGAGGTCTTGCGACCAAGTTGCGGGTGGGAGGGTGGGATGTTTGCACGAGCAGTGGATGGGACAGTTTAAGGGCAGTCAAAGTGAATTGCACCACATAGGCTGCACCACGTAGACGACACAACATACATTGCAACACGTAGATTGCACGGCATAGTTTGCACCGCATAGTTGGCACACCATATGTTACACACCATACGTAACACAACATATCTTGCACAACATATATGGCACAACCTATATGGGACGGCATATGCCGCACAACAGAGATGTCCCCACAGCAATTGCACAACATGTCTTCTCATTTTTTTTGGGGGGGAAATGATTTTACCACCCTTTCCCCCCCGGGCTTATCCATTCCCCTTTTCGTATTGCAATTTACATTTGATTCTGACCCAATGTCCATCCTACCTGTGAACTCATACCATCCCAGCTAGGCTGGTATCGCCCCCCCCCAATCCTCAGCGACAAAAAATATGCGCGCACGCTCGTTTATCAAACACCATAAGTTACCAAAAATCCTTTGCAACAAATGGGACGAAGTGCACACGTGCGCGTCGTCGCGCGCGCATGCCGAAATCCTTCAACCACCTTCTTGATTTCGGAGGAATTCCCAATATAGTTTCCAAACTTCATAAAAAAAAACAAAGGGTTTCGCAACGCGGATTTTCAAAACAAGCTTGCGGGCCGAATTCTTAAGGAACCATCGGTTTTTCAATCTTTTCAAAACATGCTACCCAACGGGCTTCGCGCGCGCATGTCGCAATCAGTCGAACGCCCTTGCGCGTGTGCCGTCGCGAGAATCCTCTGCAAAAAACTGGGACGAAGTGCGCGCGCGCGTCGTCGCGCGCGCATGCCGAAATCCTTCAACAACTTTCTGTGTTTCGGGAAGATTTCAAAATCGGGTGCCCAAAAGACATACACAAACACAGGGTCTCGCAACACGGATTTTCAACAAAAGCGTGCGCGCGCTCTTGCGAATCCTTAAGTAAATCACAGGCTTTTCAACACTTTCAGAAAAATGCTACCAAGCGAGCTTCGCGCGCGCATGTCGACATCGTTCGTGCGCCCTTGCGCGCGTG